TCCCCCCTCTCTGCGCCCCCTCCCGCCCTCTTCCATTCCGCCTCGTGTTTTATTTCGGGATGAGCTGTCTTTAATTGGGGAAGCAGCCCAGCCCTTCCTCCTCCTCCTCCTCCCGCCGAGCGCCTTGTAATTGACACCCACATTTCCCGCCGCTTTCCCACGCCGAAAGCATTCCGCGAGAGGGCCGCCCGCCCGCCCGGGGGCGCCGTCGTCCTCCTCGTCCCCCCCCCTGCCTCTCCGCCGCAGATTTTGCGGAAATCCAAACTTGTTAATTGTGTCCGTCTCTGTCTCTCGGCGGTCTGGTCTCTCACCGGTCCGGCCGGACTCTGCCGGTCTCGACACGACGGCCCGTCTCCTTTTGCAGAGTTAGTGCGGGAAGAAAGAAAAGAGACGAACGAGTGAAGGCCGGTCTGGCCGACTGGATCTCTTCTCGGTGCGCCGCGTCGTCGTCGTCCGGTTCCCTGAAAGGGTTTCTACTACGGCTAGCCTCGCGGAGGGTGGGCCTCCTTAGCCTCCCGCGGGGCGACGACGGCGCGGCGGGACAAGACCGGGAGGAAGGCTGGCCCCGGCCTCGGCTCCCCGTGCGACACGACCAACAACGGCTCGGCCGGGCTCGACTCTGTCTCCGCGCTCGGCTCGGCTCGTCCGCGCCTTCTGTTTTGGTATGATTCGCTGGAAGCGGGGAGTGAGCAGCGCAAGGGAATGTCGTAACGCCGACTGGATCCCGGCGCGGTGGGTGGAAAAAAAAAGCAAGCGATGCGAACTCCTCTGCCCTCCCCTCCCCTTTCCCGTTGCCCGCCGTACGAGACAGGCGGATGCGTTCTGCCTCCGTCCTTCTGTTTACGTTTAGGACGATGACATCCGGAGGGTACTTAGCCGGACTAGTTTTATTTTTCCGGTTGCGCGGTGGCCGAAGGGGGCAGGTGGGGCGGGCGCGGGGGGCAGGTCCAGCAGAGCACCAGAGGCGGGGGCAGGGGCGTTATTATTGCTTTTCTGAATTTGAATTTCGTCCGTTTGGGACCCGTTGTTGTTGAGACCCCCGCGGGCCGCGGCGGCGGCTAGCAGGGTTCTACTTTCTAGTAGTGACTGCCAGCCAGCCGAGGCCCCATGGCCATGGGGCCCCGACGCGCCGCCTCTATTTGAATTTTTTGGCCCAAGTGCCTCCAACTCGCCCGCGGCGTGGGCCGTCCTGGGGCCCGTTGGCTCGCCCGTTGGCTCGCCTGTTGGCCGGTGAGAGCCTGCTTTGCTCGTCCCGCGGCGCGCCGTTTTGGGCGGCGCAATGGGCCGGGGTGCTGATCGCGCGCACCGGTCAGCCCCGCCCCGCCGGGCGTAAGCCAAGCGGGCCGAGGGGAGTGGCCACCGCCCCGCCACGCCCCGCCACGCCCCGCCACGCCCCGCCACGGGGCCCCGGGGCGGTACAAAAGATGGTCCGCTGCTTCATTTTCATATTGGGCGGGCGTCGTCGTCGGCGGCGGCGGCGTCGTGGCGCAGCGTGGCATCACATTGGCCATGGCGGCTGCGGAAAAGAGGAGGGGGGCTGCTGCCTGGAGGACCCCGTCGTCGAGGAGTCCTAGACCTTTACCGGAGCCTTTCAGGGTCCTTCCTTTTCACTCGGAGGGCTCTCTCTGTGTGGTGATGGTCCTTCGGGTTCACGAGCGCTGCTCGCGCTGCCCGCGCACCCACACCACGGCCCTTTCCATTGACCCCCTTTACTCGTCCGTGTTAATACCGCATGACCTCGTTTGTTTTATTATTTTTATTGTTATATCTATATTTCGTTTTTATGATGTGTCGCCGTCGTCGCCGCCGTGGGTGCATTTCCATGTGAAACGACGGAGGGTGAGGGAGGGGGGGAGGGAGGGAAGGGGTACCCGCCGCGGTGAATGCGGTCCAGAGAAAGAGCGCGCACACACACTGCTCTGAAAGGGCCTGACGGAGCGGACACCCCCGAGCAAGCCCCCCTCTCCCCCGCCCTGCTCCATGTCTCTGTATGTGCGTGTGTGTGTGTGTGTTCGGTTTTGTTCCGAGAGTAAACTCGGCTCTGTTCCTTGGGTAAATAATCGGCCGCACCTGTCAGGTTGGAGGTGCTAGAGAGTCCTCCTTAGCGGCGTGACGGGACAGCTCTGTGTGTGTGTGCGCGCGCGCGCGTGTGTGTGTTTCTCTCTGTGTGTGTGTGTGTGTGTGTGTGTGGCCGCGCACGGAGAGGACGGACATGGACATGGCTATCCCATGACGAGGCAGACATAGAGAGAGAGGAAGAGCAGGGGGGCCGCGGAGGGACCCTTTCGGTTTGTTTTACTCATGCAAAACGATTCGTCGTAACGGTCGGAGCAGGCAGGAGGAAGAGGATGAGGAGGAGAGTGAGAAAGAGAGAAAACTATAAATTTTGTACGCTGCTTGGTCCCTGCGCCCCACCCGAGTAATGTCCGTGTGTGCGTGTGTGTGTGCGTGTCGGGGTTATTTTCATTGCGCATGGAGGAAGGAGGGAAGGATGCGCGCGAAGATGATTCGGCGCGTTTTATGCGAAATTTATCACCCTGCTAGCTGCTGGGTGCAGAGAGAAGAGGAGAGCGGAAGGCCTATGCGTTTGCTATAGGACGAGCTGAAGCCGGCCGCACACGTGTCACGAACCGGCAGCGGCCCGTCCGTGGCCGTTCGGCAGTGCTTCGGGCCCACTTCGGAGTTCGTGAAACCCCCTAGACGCGTAAGCGACGTGGACGGGCCCCGGCTCGGCTCGGCCCTACGGGCCGTGGCCCGGCTCGACTCGCCGAGCGGATCGAGAACTGCATCTTCGGGGTCTCGCAAACGCGCGCTCGCCTCCGAGTGACGGCCGTGCTGCTTGTCTTTGTCGCGCCAGTGATTACAAAGGAGAGGGAGCGAGACACCTTGTGCTGCACTATGCGAAGGTGGCCCTCCCCCACCCCGTCCTGCCCAGCCAATAGGCGGGCGGGCCGGCAGCCGCCAGTGCGCTTACGCGCGGGGGACCAGGCCCGAAGCTCGGTGAGCCCAGTGACCAGATGTTTTGCGAGGCACGGTTTTATTGCACCTCTTTCCCCTCTCCCTTTCTCTCTGGCTGGGTGGCGAAAAGTTTGACCCCGGACGCTGCTCTTTCTCTCTGCCGGGAGGGGAGGAGGGCGGGTGGCGTGGCGTCGCCCCGCTGGAGTGGAGGAGGAGAGTGGAGAGGTTCGCCTCCTGCTCGCTCCGGGCGGCTCGTGTGTGGGCGCGCCGTCGCGAGGTGTCTTTGGTGAGGATGGGTAGGCAGTGCGCAATGTTTTGTAGCATCCTGTCGAGGCCTGGCGTGGCGTGGCGTGGCGTGCAAATAGTCCCGGCGCTGGTTTAACGGTTCCGGTCAGGTCGGAGCTGGCTGGGGCTGGCGCTGGAGCTCTCTGGCTCTGGCCCCTTGACATTCAAGTGCCGTCTGCCTGCCACGGACCTTACTGCCGCAGCCGAGTCTGGCCGACCGACTGTGTTCTCTCTGTCTCTCTCTCTCTCCCTGGGCCTCTCTATCTCTCTTTGCGGCTGAGAGAGCGACAGAGAAGAAACACACACACACCATGCTTGGGCATCCCGAGGCGCGCGGGGTGCTATAAAAAACGAGTATGTGTGAACCCGCGTATCGGTGCATTAACACAGAGTCTGTGGATTTGTGAGCGGAAGAGGGGAGTAAACGAGAGAGGGAAAGGTTGGAGGGGGGGGGGGGGGTGCGCGAGGAGCGTCTGCCTCGCTCCCCAATACCTTTATCTGTCTGCTCGGGTGTCTCAAAGGTCCAAAGGGTCCTTCCACCTCCCAGATGTCCCGGCAGCGCGCGCGCGCGCGAGGTGATGTCAGGTGAAACCCGAGTGTGGGACGCCGGAGTGGAAAGGTTCGAAGAAGGGTTGTGACGGGCTACCGTCGTGCTCCTCTTGGGACGGGTGCCGCCCCGCCAGTGCCTCGTTTCTCGCGTCCCGTGGACTGCACCATCATGTACTAACTCGCTCCCTCTCTCTTGTGTTCCAGGTTGCCGTCTCCAGCGCCTCCGCCACGCTCCGCACCGCCCTGGACGGCCGCGCCACCCTGGGCGAGTCCGTGGTGCTGCTCCCGGACAGCTGGCCTGACTCTTGCGTGCCTGCCCCCGCCGGCCATGGCCCCAACGGCGTGGCCGCGCCGAGCATCTCCCCGTCGAGCGGCGAGACCCCGGACATCTCCGTGCAGAGGGTGGACCCCGCGTACGGCGCGCTCCTGTACACCCAGCAGTCCCGCGGCTGCGGCCAGCCCGGCGACCAGATCTACCTCAGCTACAGCCTTCTGGAGGAGCCCGTGTCCGAGCTGGGCCGCCGCTTGGCGCGCGAGCTGGCCAAGTACCGCTACGGCGTGTTCGACGAGGCGGGCCACAGCGCGGACCCCGTGTACCCGACCTGCTACAGCGGCGACGACACGGAGCGCCTGTCGCTGACGAGCTGCTCGGACCTTCCCCTGGACGGTGACCACGGTGCGTGCCAAAGCGGTGCCGTCCCCAACCTCACGCAGCTGGTGCAGCCCTCGGCGCGCTCCTCCCTCATGTTCGCGCCCGGCCTCCACCACGTCGACCACTTCTGCGACGCCAGCACCCACGACCGACTGTCGCCCACCAAGCACAACGCGCTCTGCGGCCGCCGCTCCGTCATGGAGGTCATCAACGTGCACGACGACTTCCAGAGCGCCGACCAGAACAAGAACAACTCGGCCGCCCCGCCGGCGCCCACCCCCGCGCCCTCTTTCGTCTACAAGCGGCAGACGCTGACGCGCTACGTGCTCGTCGTGGAGGATACCAAGGACATGCTGGTCCGCGACTCGTGGCTGTTCCTCCGTACCGCCGTGCGCAAGTGGGCCAACCTGGACCTCCCCGTCAACGCCGAGGCCGGCCTGGTGCTGGTCAACGACTCCTCTGCCTCGCGGCTGGTGGCCATGCAGGCCCTCAGCTCGCAGGCCGCCCGCGGCCTCGTGTCCTCCAACCTGCCGTACTCGCCCGGTGACAGCCACGCCCCCGCCTGCCTGTCGTGCGGCCTCCGCGAGGCCCTCGACATGCTCGAGGAACGCGCGCGCCTCGGCGGCCCCGCCAGCTCCGTCGTCATCCTCCTCGCCCCCGGCACCGACGCCCAGGCCGACCTCCTCGCCGCCGCCAAGGACGCCGCCGCCAAGAGGATCCGCGTCGCCACCGTCAACTACCCCGGCGTGATGAGGGGAGCTCCCCTGGACGCGGCTGCCGTCGCGACCGGGGCGCCCGCCTTCACCGTGGCCGAGAAGGGCTACAACATGGCCACCTCTATGCTCGGCACTTACTTCGGCCTCGCCAACGCCCTGGCCGACGTGACCCGCCACTTCTACCAGGGACACCTCAACAACCTCCCCATCGAGATCCACCGCAGGGAGCTCAACGATCAGTCCAGCGCCACCGGCACCTTCGTCCTGGAGGAAGGACTCGGCGCACCCGCCCGCTTCGCCGTCTACACCTACAACACCGAGAACCCGCTCATCAAGGGCCTGACGCTCATCTCCCCGAGCCAGCGCGTGTACACGACCCGCTCCGAGGGACTTATCTCGCTCAAGATGCTCACCATCGCCGCCAACATCAATGAGGTAAGTCGAGCGCCCGCGGTGTGGAGGATAGCCAACCCATAGTGCTCGGGCCTTTCATCAGCCCGCTGCATAGGCAACCCATCCGACGTATACGCTTGTCTTCTCTTGGCGCAACGAAACTAATCTCATTCTTGTGTGTTTTGCAGACGGGCACCTGGCAGTACACCATCGAACGCTTCCGCGGCAACCCTCAGCCCCACTTCGTGACGGTGACGGCCACCCCGTGGTCCGCCCTGACGCCCGTGGTGCGCGCCCGCCTCTTCACGTCCACCGGCCCCGGCCCCCTGGTGCTGTACGCGCAGGTGACCTGGGGCGGCGCCCCCGTGCTCGGCGCCGCCGTCGAGGTGACCGCCACCCGCCCCGCAGTGCCCGGCCAGGGCGTCAACGGCACCGCCTCCGCGCCCTACCGCGAGAAGTTCATGCTCCTCGACACCGGCGGCGGCGACCCGGACCTCACCCGCGGCGACGGCGTCTACTCGCGCTACTTCAGCACCCTCAAGGGCGGCGCCGGCGTCTACACCTTCGAGGTGACCGTCACGGACAACGGCAACACCGCCTACACCTGGAAGGAGAACCGCAACGAGGACGAGCTCGACGGCATCGGTAAGTTGGCGGCAGACAGTCCATAAGTCGTGTTGTTTTCCCCGCTCCCCCTCCGACCTCGTGCTCATGTTCGCTCTTCTCTCCAGGCTCCTGCTGTGGCAGCGCTCTCCGCGCCCCCGCCGTCGCCAACCTGTCGCCCTTCCAGCGCGTGCTGCCCCCGCTCACCGTGGCGCTCCCCGACGCCGGCTCGGTCCAGTCGCAGACCTCCCCGCTCTCGCAGCCCGGCCGCGTCGGCGACCTCCGCGTCGACATCCTGGGCTCCGCCCTCAAGGCGCGCCTCTCGTGGACGGCACCGGACATGGGCGGCCTCGACGTGGCCCGTTACGAAGTCAAATACGCCTCCAAGCTGAGCGACTTGGTAAGGGAAAAGCAAGATTTGTTGTCTCCTGGTTTTCCATTTTAAAGTATTATAGAAGCTAACCATTTGCTCTCTTTTTTCTCCCCCAGATGGACAGCTTCGACACCATCGCCTCCACGTGGAACTACGGTTCTCCCTTCCCTCTGGCCCCCGGCTCAGACACAAGCTTCACCCTGGACCTGAGCCGCGACCCCAGCCTCCTCGACGAGCCCTTCTTCGTGGCGGTGCGCGCCTTCCCCGAGGCCAGCACCGGCGCCTCGGCCGGCCCCGTCTCCAACTGGGTGCGCATCCTGGTGCCATCGCCGCCGCCGCCGCCCACCCTGCCGCCTTCCTCGCCTTCCTCGAACGGCTCGCCCGACCTGCCGCCCTGGTCGCTGGAGGGTGACTCGGACGACTCGCCGGTGCCGCGGCTCGCCCACGGCCTCGACCTCGGCCTGGAGCTGATCCTGCCGGTGGTCGGTGGCGTGGCCCTGCTAGCCGTGTGCCTGGCCGTGTACTGCTACCTCTGCGTCCTCCGGCGGAGCCACGGCGGCAGCGGCAAGAAGGGCGGCGCCCCGCAGCCCGTCAAGAACGGCGCGCCCGCCGGCCTGGCGCCCAGCAGCGTGGTGGTGACGCCCCACGCGACGCACGCACCCCTCGCCGGCCCGGACTCCAGCCCGGGCATGGACCACAAGAAGAGGCTGAGCCTGGCCGACCCCATGTCGCAGGACGGCGTCATGACCAACGGCCACCCCGTGAGCGCGCCGCACTCGCCGCAGCACCTCAGCCCCTCGCACTCGGCCGGCCAGATGGGCCAGATGGTGGGCCTGACGGGCTCGCTGCAGCGGCCGCGCACGCTCAGCCCCTACCAGTCGTGGACCGCGTCGCAGCTGCTGCACGAGCACGAGCGGAGGCACAGCCCCTACGGCGACGAGCAGGCCCTGCCCGCCTACCAGGGCTACCAGTTCCAGGGCTACCAGGGCCAGCACGCCGTCGACGGCCAGTACATGGACCAGCAGTACTACCAGGAGCAGCCGTTCCACCAGCCGCCGCCCGTCCCCCCACTGCCTCACATGAGGTACGCGGACGAGTCCGTGTACGGGGTGCAGACCCCGCCATCCCAGCAGCAGCAGCCCCAGCAGCAGCAGACGCATGGCTTCCTGCACAGCAATCGGCTGTTGCCGTTCAACCCCAGCCTACAGGGCTCGCTCAGCTCTGTCAGTAGTGGTGACCGCAAGAAAAGGAACGTTACCATGGTGTGATGTGATTAGCAAAGAGTGAATTGCTCAAAGTGTGCACCCGGTGCAAGGTTAGTGTGCGGTGAGGAACAATGAAAAATGAGTCATACTGCTAAGTGCCTCCTTCAGGGGGATCAAGGACCCTGACACAAGTAGTGTTCACTCTCTTCTTTTTTTCTGGTTTGTTCTCACCCCAAAACTGTGAATCAAAGTTGTGTTTCTGTGGTGTGAATGTGTGGAGAATGTATTTTGCTGGTAGTCCTTTTATGGTCTTCCAATGTTTCCTCAATCTGTTGCACAGTATTTAAATTGTCATTTTCTAGTCTCTTCTTTTGGCTTCTATTCCTCTGTACAATTTGATTATTTTGTACAGTATTGTGCAACAGACTGAGGTATTTATGTTGTGCCAGGAGAGACAGCATGAATATTGTTATAGTGCGTTGTAGTCAATTTTTTAATTATTTTAATGACCTG